TGCTATTGTATTGACCTCAAGTTTCCTGTACTCACTGGCCGTTCCCCCTCTCCCTTAGTCACACACCATATATGGCCTTAATCGCTCTCCACTGCTCCCATTGGTCCGTTCTCCCTAACCACCCCCCCTGCCTACTTCGTATATAAGCAGCACCTTCCACATCCTATCACCACAGCTACTGCTCTCCGCAGCTATTCAACTGCTCTGAAGATGGAGGCGCTACGTTCCTCCGAAACGTCGGCCAAAACGAAGAATACACGGTGCCTAAACCCAGAAGACAACTTTCTTCATTGTCATCGCCGTGAAAACCTCAAAACCTACATACGAGTAATAACAAAGGTTATTTACATTTGTATTAATCAAGACATGTTTCGAACCTATCGATTCATCATCAGGTATATCTCTGTGTACTTAGAAGCTCGATTTATATTCGGTATGGATCCACATTTTCCTTCATATTTGACAGTACGATTATGTAATTATTGCTTAGTAGCGGACCTCTGGTTTGTTCAGTTTTCGATTTTGAGCTGTAATGGTATAAAATAAAATAAAATTAAATTAAACTGGAGTTAGATGTGAATTACGGCCGCGCCACAGCTCAAGCGGTTAGTCGCTGGCTTCCCACCGCGGCGGCCTGGGTTAGATCCCGGGTCTGGTCAAGTGGGATTTGTGGTGGATAAAGTGGCGCTGGGGCGGGTTTTCTCCAAGTACTTCGGTTTCCCCTGCCAATCTTAATTCCACCACTTGCTCCACAATCACCCTCACCTATCATCTGGGGCTGGCACAATAGGCCAGAAGTGGCCGCAGTACAAGGGACTTAGTCCCACCCCACTAGCAGTAGATGTGAATTAATTTAAAACTAATTAAGAATTAAAGTTAAAAAAATTTAGAATAGCGTGTTTACTTGACCCTGTGATTGGTGTTGTTATACTTGATTTTTTTTTAATTTGTAAAAAGGGGGGGTGAGTCTGTGTCCACTTAGTGTTACTGCCACCATCGAGCCCATTGTATCAGCCCCGGACGATGATGGCAAGTGACTGTAGAATAGTTAGAACAATGAAAATTGAAAAAGGGAAATCTGTATACTTGGAGAATTTCTGCCGCTTTGTCAACCACGAATCCCACATGACTTTCCTGGCTCAAACCCGAGACCGTCGCAAAGGTCAACCAGCGACAAACCGCCCTATATTGGACATTTACCATTGTTACATCTAATCAATTAATTAATATTACCTTCTACTTTTCTGTTTATTCGAGATATTTTTTACTTTAATATACATATGTGATATTTCTTGTATAAAAGCAGTACAGTTTCTATTCCTTTGCGTATAGGTCGCTTCACAAATTAAATTTAATGTTTTGATTGTAAAACTTGACTTTTAGCATGCTTAAATAAACACCTAATTACAAGTAATTTCGATAAAAGTCTGACAAACCATAAATATTTATGGGAAAGCTAGGGCTTGAGAGTAAACACGCAGGAATGTTTCAAGAGCCAGTGCTGTAAATAAACATCATAAGGAGGAGCTTTTGTCGAATAAGCATAAGACTCGATGGAACATGTTTATAGTTTTCCTAAATTAAAAATAAATTTAGACTGCTTTGAGTTTCTGTTTATGCACTCTGACGTAGATTGACTCTTAGGAGCATTTCGCAAATTAGCGCACTGTGTTAACAGTCCAAGGTTTGGGTTCCTCATATAAATCGAATAAATGAATAATACATTAGCAGATAGGCCATGTACGAGTATACACATCTCATGTACATACTCCTTTGCACTTTCTATCGGTTTCTGGCGAAATTTCATGCTGAATTTCATAAGTAATATTACAAATAGAGTATGAACTTGAATTTAACAATAAATTCATTATAAGTTTTTGTGGTTGGTAAATCTAAAAGCAAGAAATTTTACAGATGTACCTTATTGGACTGTAATTATTGTTTGTCTTGTAAGTCGTCTTACCTGCGTCACGCCATTCCTCGAGACCGAAGTCGCTCTGAATTTGGTTCTCTGGCATACGGTCCTTCCAGGATTTTCCCCTTCCTCGAGCTATAAATGAAAATTATACCACAAGGCATTCCCATGTCAAAGAAATTATTTCGTTAGTCATGAACACACATGCAGAATTCGGCTGTATGATTGGAAAGTAAAATGATTTTATCCTTAGGAGCATGGAGCATGTTCATCCGGGACATACCCCGTCACGTGAATATGGAATTGACTAATCCAGTTTGATTTAAATAGAAGAGAAAATGGAAGAGCTTTATTTTTATTTTGGGATGTAACGCAGTNACACATGCAGAATTCGGCTGTATGATTGGAAAGTAAAATGATTTTATCCTTAGGAGCATGGAGCATGTTCATCCGGGACATACCCCGTCACGTGAATATGGAATTGACTAATCCAGTTTGATTTAAATAGAAGAGAAAATGGAAGAGCTTTATTTTTATTTTGGGAGAGTAGTTCGTTAAGTTCAACCAGCGTTTCGGACAACATGTCGCCTCCGTCGTCAGGATAAAAAGCTAAGCAAGGTACCAGCTTGAAGCAAGTAACTTGCAGGAAATTTTACGTAGCCTGTGTAATGCTAAAAAGCTTGTTTCATCATGCTTGAGAATGGAAGTCAATGAAATAGTTTTCTGAAACGAAAGTTGGCGTTGGAATGAGAATAACATTACACTTAAGAGTACAGAATTATAAAAATGAGCAATAAACTACCTGTCGTCTGACAGATTACTGATGAATGAATGAATGGGTAGGAAACAGTAAGTGTGACGTGGCATTAAGAGGTACCAGTCAGATACAAGCGGAGCTGCATGAGAGAAAACCGACATAAATCATCCTCGTCTTACCCGGTAACCATTATGAGTCCACACCTTTGTTTCAAAATTGTAAGCAGTATTTTATTAACAGGTTAGGGTAAATGAGGACAGATTCATTAATAACAGGTATGTAAGAAATGAGAGATTTCTCGCTGATCCATCTGTGACAGTAACAAGGAAACTGGAGGTTACCGTTAAGTGTAATTATTGTTTTCTATAGTGTGTAATAAATGTAGTTAAGGACAAAATTTCTTGCCTATTTATAAAGAGAAGCTGTTGCGCTTTTATGGATTATTTACTGAGCAGCTTTTGTTTCATTGCTATCTCCGAACTCCCATTCTCAGTGAGGATATTTACGCTACTGCAAAAAGACAGATTGTAGTTATCCACGACAGAGACAATTTTTGGTTCCTTAACCAACTGACGATCTGCTGTCCGGCGAGACAACGGTGACCGTTATAATTGGTTGACAGAGGTGGTTGAAAGCCGTAATAATTGGTATCCAGTGGTGATGTTCGAAATTCGCTGCCGTTGTACAATTTCTAATGATATTGTAGCGTGTAGACCTGTTTTTTGGTAACGGTCACAAAACGACGCCCGTTGCTAGGTGACGCGAATATATTCCCGCGGAAACGGTTAACTTACGAGAATGACCGATGTTTTCTACGTGGGCCGTGCCGAGGAGTTGTCTTGAATACAATTGGGGCAATCAAATCAGTTCCGTTGAGTTCTGTATTGGTAGCTGTGAAGAGAGGACGTGAGCCCAAGAAACTGAATAAACTCCACTGTTAGAAACCGTTGCCAGGGACCGACTGGTGGAAACACAGCACGCTGGAAAATGCTTGGTGGGATCTGTGGTGATTTGTGAATTGTGGAGATTGGCTGTGGCGCTGTAATTCTTTGTAGGACCGAGTCACGTGCATAAGTTGTCAATAAATCCACTCACCAATACAAACCCCGTCTATAGTCACACTCTAAATCATGACAGTATTTATTGGTGACGGTGATTACCATCGTGAACCTCTTTGGTAGGGTCACATTATGAACACGCCGAAGCTAAAACAGCATCAGAGCACATTCAGGAAGACTTTCATTTTAAAGTTAATTCGTATCAAGCCATGCTTGTGCGTCTGAATCTCACTTCATTGGGTAAGGGGGGAAAACCCTGCTACATTTCAGTGTTCTTCGGTAGTATAATACATACGTATACTTAACCGTCTAATGACTGAAGTGCACCCAAATTATGTTTAAAAATTAATAAGGATTTTTATTTAAGTAATTTCGAAGGCAAGAAACCTTGGTAAACTCCGGCGAATTATTTTAGAGCAGTAAGCAAAAGACTGATTTTTTCGAAACGTTTGAGGAATACTTAAACCAAACTATTTCGGATTTTATAGTATGTAAAATATTCCCGAAGAAATTCGTCTACTACAATGCCAAATTCGGCCGAAATGGACGAAACGGTATGGAAATACCTTTCATCTCGACATCCTGTATATAAAGAACGAATAAACAGCCGAAGATTTCTCTTTATATAAGATAAGGTGATGGAAACAGCCTTTTCCCATTGCTCTGGCAGCAGGAATAGGATGAAGAAGCCTGTGAATCTCAATTTTAATTTATTACTTCGTACCTGGACAGTTCTGTCGAAATCAATGAATACCTAGCGGTGTATATTTTCTTATTAATATTTTCTATTCCCAAAGAACTGCACTCAGTACCAAAAATTCAGCTCTATATAACTCAGTCTGCCCAACTTCGTTAAGCCGACGTATATTTAATTCCTAACAGAATTAATTTTCCACTTTTAAAAATAATGTGCTGCTCTGAAAGTACTGGTTTTAAGATATCGATTCTCGAATGTCGTTAGCGACTGTAATCTGTCTCCTACCTTTTGTCTATTATACATATAATCTGGAAAGTAACATTCTTTGGTGTATGATGCCATGCAGTCTGGTAGGAACTGCTAGCAGACAGCATGGCTCTCTATAGTCACTGCCGTGAGTACCTCAAATCTCCTTCAAAAATCTGCAAGCAATGAATTTTATAAATGTCGTATGTGTGTAAATAATATACGAGTATAGTATGGTGAGGGAAAGTTGTCCCTGTGCTCAACCTGTTAAGCACCATACCATGAATACATGGGGAAGTGGCTGTATAGCTCCACGTATTCTTGACCTAGACACTAGTTTGAAATGAGTGGTCATCTTCAGGGACCGGCCGCTTTAACCCCGGATAAAGAGCGACCAGTACCCACTGGATAGGAGGCTGGGAGGGCCCCAGAACCGGTCTGGACGCTGTGGAGAGGAGGAAAACCAGGACTCGAATTCCGACCCCTCGGATCTCCCGNTCACGTGGTTAGTGGCGGAGGTCCGGGTTCTATCCCAGGTAAGGTTATACGGCGTGTAAATAAATACACATTACAACGCTCTGTGGTAGATAGATGGGTTTAATCTGATCACATTTGTTAATACACCAATGTCCGGAAAAGCTTCCTTTTGGCACTAAAGGTCACAAAATTTTCCAAGAGGGTGCATAAGTTTTAGGGGGTACTATCGTTGTTTTATATTATAAGAGTTGCTCAAAATGGCGGCCGTCAACTTCATTGCATGTTCTGCACTGCCTGCCTATGTTATGCTGAACTCTTTGAAAGATTCCCGGCATATATCGGATGGTTTCAGCTGCTACTGCAAATTTTGCCACAAGATCATGTTGTCTATCCACTGGAGTCTCCTACACCAGGCTTTGCATGTACCCCCAGAGTGAAATCAAGTCACGGGAGCGAGGGGGGCCAGGTTATTGGGCCTCCACGTCCAATCCAAAAGTTTCATTCAAATACTCACGGATGACACTAGTGCAGTGTGCTGGGGCGCCATCATGCTGGAAACATTTTACCACGGACTTCCGAAGGCAACACTTCCAGCAGCTCGGGTAAGATCTCTTGGAGAAATGTTAGGTAAATGTCACCAGTAAGCCAGAGAGCTAAGAGGTAACGGCGTCTTCCTTCGCATTTCAGAGGCCCTAACGTGTAAACAAAGCGTTTCCGGACATGGGTGTACTAACAAAATGTGCTCGGATTGAACCCATCTATCTACCACATAGCGAAGTAACATACATTTATTTACACTCTGTATACATATACATACATATGTTCAAAGACAGCTTATAACACATTATTTGTAGAATTAATTTTAATATTTACCTTTCTTCCTAGTTGTGGGGAATGTTACAGATGAAATTGTTGGCGTGGAGGTGGTCGTTGGCGCTGGAATTTCTGTAACATAAAATAAATATATTCACCCTTTTATTTATTTATGTACAGAGCGGTTAATATGACAGTTGTCATCTTCGAAAGTTGGAACTAATTTTCTGGTAGTGAAAACGAAAGTTTCGGCATTCCTCAAATTCCAGGCATGTCCATTCCCATTCTCACACTTTATCTCCTTTATCTCCCTATGCTCCTTCATAATTTTATTCTGTCGTCTCATTCTTGTCTTCTCTGTCGTTCAGAAACTTAGTTCGAGATATGTAAGTAGGAATGAACTTGTAGTATTTTTTCTTTAATTTCCGAGTTTCCTGCAAGCTTCACCTCGGATATACTTTGACTGAGATTCATATATTTTTGAATGTATTTATTTCTGAACTACAATTCTCGTACAAAACGTGCAAGTTTTACACGGGGAATTCCATTGTTTGAAATATTATTCTATTTAAATCACACTGAAAATTTTGGAAATTTGCCGTAATCTTCCTATATTACAATTATATTGTGGTTAAATTATAAAGGCAAAAACTAAAGACTAAGTTGTCCCTGTATTTAATTACGTAATTAAACACTAAAACACAAAGGCATGTGAAAAATGGAATTATAGCTCCATCATTCTTGACCTTGGTACCAGATGGAGATGTGTGGCCAGGTTCACGCCCAGGCCACTTTACTCCCAGGGAACCTTGTCTCCTGTACCCATTGCATAGGACGCTGGGACAGGTCGCTATGGAGAAAAGAAAGAAATTTTACCCGTATTTTGAATCGATCCGCGGCCGTACAGCCCGTATCCTGGTTCCTTAGTGCTAAATTATGGATATTAATGTAGAGTTTTTAACTGTGTTTTCGGTAGCTGACAGTAGCACCACATTTCGTGTAAGTTTAGATCTTCAGCATGTGTTTCTGTGTTCGTGATGTGTAGACCGTAGCATGCCGATACGTTTGAGAATGTGCAGTTTGGGCTAGACGATTGTGTATGGTCAACACAGGAATGTGGATGTGATGCCGTGTAGTCTTGCAGGTGGATACAAAAGTTTCCGGTAAATATGTTGCCTTCATCGGCAGGGTTCAATTCGGTAGGGCGAGGATGTGGTCAGTTTACATAGCAACTTGACAGGATAGTGATCACTCTAATCCACGGGAGAGGTATAGGACTTTTAACATGTCCTTATGTAGCTGATTTGCATCCTTACCTTATTCACTTCGACCCTGAAAATGGAGGCAGCGCGTCTATATTATCTACCTACAAGGCCATACGATGTCACAATTCATGAGTTCAGAATCTAAATGATCATATCGTGCAAACCCCAAAGCTTATGGGACATGGTGTCATGTTCTGTATTGTTACGTGTATCAGTGATTTTAGACGCGGGTTTGGCTCGGTGAGTCTATGTATTGGATGTTCACCAGACGTAACTACACTTAATTATAGCACTTTCAAGCTTATTTTAACTATAACAAGTCGTAACTATGAAGAATGATGACGCTCTAAAGGTTACTGTGACTACACCACTTAAACTAAAGAAGTCACTTCTTATTTCTGACATCTTATTCTACCGAGTCGAGTTATGTTACGACCGACTTTCAGTCAGCCAGTTTATCTTGGAATAAGGTACCCATCTGGGGGTTACGATCAGATTTTTGTTACTGTCAGACAGTTGCGGGTTTGTTGATGTGGGGCGCTGTCTCTGGCGAGAGGGTGGGTCTGTCATTTACAATTCCTGCTGGCTCTCGCCAGCGCAGTCATTCTCGAGTCTGAGTTCCGTTTGACTCATGACCAAATTGTACTCTCACAGAACCAAACTTACCTTGCCATTGCCTCCTACTACTCACAGGGCTACTGTGGAGGTATTCGACCCCATCTCCACACGGGGTTTATTCGGTGGAGGTATTCGACCCCCCTGACTTCTAGTTATAACTGTTAGGCGGCTGTGATAACAGACACCGCCTTGAAGGGTGTAACTTTGCGTATTCTTCTTTTATTAAGTCGTTACTGTGCAACCTCCAATTCACTGCCGTGGTTATCGGCTTTCAACAGTGAAACAGTGAACCACAGTAACTAGAACCGTTGTGTAGCGATGGACGCCTATTCGCAAATACTGTGGAACGTGTTTACCTACTTGTTTCTTAGAAACGGCCCAATCTGTCACAGTATTTCATATATGCAAGTTATGTCGGAAGTCGGCTGTACGCAATAAGAGTCATGTCCCTCGGAACAAGTACTTTTGTTACAGATGCGGATGTTTATGATTCAGCCTTGTGTTAAGTTTTTAAAATACGCCAACAGAGAACTTTATGAATGTGCTGTTTACTGTGCAAATTTACACAGTTAATGCATGGAAGTTTATAGTGGTGAGAACTATTATTTTTCCCCTTCATAATTTATGAAGTAACTTACCGTCTAGTTTTATGATCCCATCTGTTTCGCCTAGTGAATTCTTGGCTACGCACTTGTAAGATCCGAAGTCATTGTGCTTGACGTTGCGTATTTTCAGCATCATGTATTTCTTGTAGTCGTTGTCAGTTGATACAGCTTCGTACTTGTCCCCTGAGATTGACAACATGCACACAGAAAACCTGTTAAACCTTCTGATAGAATATAAGTAAACTGAACGTCTATTTAAGATTTGAGATTATTTATCGTCCGTCAATATTGCAACATTTTTTTATTCAGTACTTAATTTTAATTTTAGTTTAACATTTTACACTTTGACACTACATGTTTCGGCCTCAGACGGCCATCTTCAGGTGTCTTGATATGTCACAATTATTATATTAAATTGTCTTAGAACTGCTACACTGTCTTACTTCGTGTTAAAATCACACGATGTAGTCCTCCTTTTAAGGTAAAACCAGATAAAATCCTTTCAAGTTTCTATTATACCCACGTTATTTTGGTGCGTTTTATTTCACCTCACACGGGGTGTCGTCCCTTGTTCATAAATGTATGTCTGTCCAGGGTGTTTTGTTTCGGCAGCTTGCCCCTCACGTTGTCTTTACAACGCCACACGCTGTGGAGGAAACACGCACACCAGGGGCATATTGCACTCATAAATGAAAAGTAGGCTACGAACGTTAGGGGCAAGCTGCCGAAACAAAACACCTGGGACAGACATGCATTTATGAACAATGGACGACATCCTGTGTATATTATTAATTGTTGTGTTGTGACGGCTTTCAGTAAAGAAATATATAATACACAACAAGATGCATTTATAGTAACAAACATACATAAATGTGTCTGTCCACGAATGACCGGTTTGGAAAACGTGTAAACCCCAAATTGTACTACGTTTTGGTTGTTAGAAATCTGAAATGTTCACAGTAGGTTTTATAAGCAGTCGTAATACGCAAATCCGGACGGAACATATTTTTGTTTCGCGTGTGGGAATCCTCACTGCAAATGTTGCCACGGGTTCTGCGCGTCTGTGAAACCGCGAACTCGCTGCGGCTCGTTGTCTTAATAATTAATCACCGAGCCAGCAACAGCCGCCACTCTGAGCTAACCTCGCCTCTCCTCCCCTGTTTTGTGGAAATCCTGTGGCTATTATGAGCACCAACATACAAGAATGATGTACGGCAATCTTTGTACAAAAATTACGTTAAAGTAACGTAATCATCATGGGTTTTTGTACATGCACTTCAAGTTGTAACTGACATTATCTACAGATATTACTCTTTTTATAAGGAACCCTGTTTTAATTTTATAACTGGCTGTCTAGTTGTTAATAGGTATAGTTAATGTTCACCCTACTACCACAAAATGCGACGTTAAATAGCATCTGAGCTCGAATTTTAGTCGGATACTGAGGCAGAAAACCGTGATAGTAGTCCGTAAGAATATTCGATTCATTAGTGAAATGAAGTCACTCAGAAAATATTTCACTGGAGTCATTATTATTATTATTGATCTTGTAGCTGTTGACTCAGCACATAATTAATTAAGAATTGAATTGAACTAATATCCTTTGTCCATAATTGGCCTTGTAGCTGTTGACTCAGCACATAAATAATAAAGAACTGAACTGAATTGAATTGAATCAACATCATCATGATCACCATCACCATCATCGTCATCATTATAATTGTCATCGTCGTCGTTTCTTTCTCTGTGTCCATTACAAATACGTTTGTGCTTTAGAGCGGTTAAAATTGCACGCCTTACGTAAAAGGAGATATCACTTCTATGCATTGTTTAAGTTTCAAGTTTACTTTGATTCAAAATGATATCGTCGTCTTTTTGGAAAATGCTGCTCATTGAGTTCCTTCACGGTGTATCAGACAATTTTATATGTTAAATGTCTGCTATTCAGGAAAAAATATAGCCTTCTATAGACATGCTTAAGCTGCTAATGTTGTTCGTAGGGAAGTTGGCATGTTAGGAAACAAGTGTTTCTTTTAATCGTATTTTTAATTTGATGGACATATCAACGCTAAAATTCCTTTGTAAAGTTATTTTAAGTACGTACAAATTGATTCAATACACAGCAAACTTATATACACAACTGTTATAATAATAAATAGGATTTGAAGTTCTCACATCGGTGGGTACGACTAGTTCTATCTTCTGAACTATAACGGATTACACGTCGCGTCATCACAGGAGATACAGCTCCTAATCATAATATAAGATTTGTGGTTCTTATGGCGGATACTTTGAGGATTGCTGTGTTCTGATATATGACGCCGTGTGGTCAGGTAGATGTTTACACAGCAATTTCATATGTATACCATGCGTGCCTTCTTAGTTTCCTTTGCACGCAAAGAAATTTTCTGTTTGGAAATAATGAATACTTCGATTTAAGATCGGAACCCGAAAAGAAAACCTAAGCAACTAATCAAAGTTCCTTACAACAGTAACTTTACGTACGAGGATGGTTCTGAAGACAGTTTCTGTTCTCTCGTAAACAGAGCCAGAATTTCCCAGCGATATTGCCACCGTGGTGACAGATTGTGGTTTCACTTACCCGAGACGATCATGTCCCCCCTTTCTGTGGTCCAGTAGTTGATGGATGCGGGATACGCCTCAGAGAGACATTCCAGAGAGACGTCCTGACCGAGATACGCCCCCTCCAGTTGGTTCGCTATGGTGAGCATTGGCGGAACTGCAGAAGTACAAGAAGTTCAGTTTGATGTCCATCTCTTGCAAAATTATTACAGAGTCAGAAATGTCTGCTTCTCTTTTGGGACACACAAAAATGTCCATGGCTTGATTGTTCATCAGGAGTACTGTTCATTCCCTCAGCCCTTATAATGCAAAATATCAGCATGTGTTACAAACTTGAAACGTTTTACAAGTAGCTTGTAGATCTTTTGCCTTGTTAACTCAATCTTAGGAAAAGAATATGCTGGAAATTCTGCCTCCAACATTTAAAACCAATTGATATATACATGTTATATATATGTTTAATACATTATTAGTGGTAGTGGTGGAGGCGGTGAGAGCAGCAACATATAATATCCAAAATACATTCTAAATCTTTTTCGCCCTCTATGTTTTTTCATTCCGCAAATTTTAATTTCTTTAATTTTATAAAATATCACATTCCTTTTTAACAAATTAAGCTTGGGTACGTACGTTTACATGTTTTGATCTTCGAAATAACGTAGTAGTAAGATCCTAGCTTCGTCGAATCGTAAAATGAGAAGAGAAAGTTAATTACGAGTANAGACACTTCATTCTTCTGCATTTCCGTTTTCAAATTCTCCAATTTAGTTAATATTTCGTTCAATATTTATGATAAATATTTGCAACAGGACGTGCAGAACTTTATTAGACAGACATTTTATGTTTCAGTATTTTTTTACATTTAAAATATTTTAAGGATATAATAACTTCCCAACTGTCTTCAGGAAGACCAGTGCGAGTAACAGCAACTAATAAGAAAGCCCTAAATGCTGTTACGGAAAATGCGAACTTTGCATTTTACACATAGTTTATGAAGTCGTGCACATTTTCCCCCATCAGGGCCTACTGGATAATTCCGCATATTATCAGAGAGTTGGGTCATTACGGCAATCTTATTTAAAATGCGACTGTGAGCAGCAGTGGCTGCTTTAGGAACTAAACTCAGATTGTGAAGAAAGCAGTCTTCTGGGATGTGGCACCGTGTAGATGTGGTGTTAACCTATGTTTCGGAGGAACGTAACGCCTCCATCTTCAGGGTAGAAATAAAAAATAAATTCGCAAGCGAAGAGGCCGTGAGAACCGGTACCGGTACTTACACTGAACTCTAAGCTCCACTCTCTTGCTGATTGAAGGTGGCACTCCATTGGACGCGACGCACAAGTACGCCCCCATGTGGAGCCGGCTGACTCGTACAACGTGTAGCACTTCACCGTCCACATAGTTCACTGGAAATCAGCAAGTGTTTCCGCTACTTACCACTCCAATAATATAATTAAACCTAATACACACAAGCCCAGTGAATGCTGACATACAGAGAGTCAGTATTCACTTCGGTCAGACAACTTTTCTACAATGAATATAGGTTACATGATACGGCATATAATAAATGATATAGTCAGGCCTTTCATGCGAAACAAGAAGTGGGATTCATATATTAATGTACGTAGTTATAATAATTATTAAATTCTGTTACGAGCAGATCAGCATAGACGGGAGAGCAGAGCCAGTTGGCTCAGGTACCTGGCCTAAAGGGGCTCCAAATATATTTTATTTAATTTAAAATTAAATCATTGTCAAAATATGTCAAATAGATAATGTGTAAATTATAAAACAATATGAATTGTTTCTATTGCATAATTTAAAATGTAGTTTAATAAATATTTATTAAATATATTCATATATATTTAAAGTACGATATGTAGACCCATTGCTAGGCAACGATTCGGTAAACACATTCCCGCGACAACGAATACGCAAGCAACAATCGAATAAGTTCCGTTTCTATGCAGCGGCTCTGTAAACATAATAGAGGAAACTGTGTTTTCTATGGATCCGCCTCGACAGTATATAGGTAGTACAGAAAAAATCAAATCAGAATGAGAATGGAGCGAGTCCTCGGTAGTCTAGGAAGAAGGGTTCGGCTGAAGATTGATTTGAGTTATTGTAATTCATTGTGATTACAAGAGATTGTTCAGGAAGGCATCAATAAATCCAATCCTCCAATCCAGAATCCGTTATTATTAGTCACGAAGCCATAAACTCGTGACAGTATGTATTTCGGAGTGGGTGGGACCCCACGTTTGTCGCTGGCCTCTACTCCATCTCACGTCTCTCAGGCCCTGGTTGCGGGTATGGCCTATCCGCATGTATATAACATGGAAGAGTGCCTATGAAAATCCATGTTCATGAAATTGTTAAAATTATTCAACTCATCTACGGATGTGTTGTCTCTACAAATCAGTACATCCGAAATGAACAGATTTGTGTTGTGTACGAAAGTCTGTTTTGCACGGCACAAACAGAATAAGGATTTTGTTGTTGTGGAATTATCTGTAACACGATGTATGGTGAACTGTTTCACGAAGATCCGGAGTGGTGTTCGCTGCGCTGTGTTTTAATTAGTCCCTTAAATTCTGGATAATGTACGCAACATTTTCAAATCATGTTTGATCTGATGACATGCTGCAGAATTAATCAGTTACTAGGTCCGTATTATCACATAGTAGCCTGTCATATGCAAGAAGGTTTAGTGTTCACCAGAGCCCTCCACTGGTCCCTATCATGAGCCAGATCAATCCAATCCATACCATCCCATCCTGGCTCTCTAAAATCCATTTTAACATTGTTCACCCACCTACGTCTTGGTCTTCCTAGTGGTCTCTTTGCTTCGGGCTTTCCCACCAGTATCCTATATAGATTCGTTTCGCCACCATTCGTGCTACATACCCTGCCCATTTCATCCTTGACTCCCATATTACAGATGTAATGTTTATGCAGCCATAATTCGGTCATCAGGGTCGTTGCGAGAACGAGGCAAATCACAAAAAAATTTGGTAATTCAATTGTGAGAGCCTTGTGTGAGATACACTGGATGTTGTATCGTCTAGAAATCGAATGAAAGTAGATAAGAAGAGGCAGCCAAAATCAGATTAAAGTTGATAATAATAAGCTGCCAAAATTGATAAGACGTTGTTATATAAATGCGAAGTGATAACTTCTGGTTCTCTTTATTATTTCCTGTAATAAATACAGATAATAAAACACATTATATTTGCGAGTACATAGACCTCGGGCAAATTTGATTTATTGCAACCTTGCAAAATATCTTAAATGCAGCGTTTCGGTATTTTTGAGGCGAGCCTGGTAAGAGTGTGAACGTCTTACTGTATATTCTCACCACCGCGTCGGCCACACGCGTTTGTAATAGAATTACCGACCCTCTTCTTTAATTTAATAGTAATGAGATTTTAGTAAATTACATTTTGTTTCGTATAGTCTATGTAATGTTATTCCTTGTATCAAGTCTTATACGTATATATCGCCTTTTCGCAAGATTCTGTATTTTTAACAGTGTTATTTGGTACAGTAAGTAAAGGAGAAGGAACGTAATCGTGTTAGGGACCTGTAGTGCGGGTTGCATCCCCACCTCAGACCCCTCTCTTTTCTTGCCGGGCCGGACTTTTTGCTTATAAAGACGACGGGCGTCCCCGGGGAATCCCAGCTAGTTACTGGAAGAAGGAGGTGCTCCCCTAGGCTCAACTCGGCACATTCTCACCAGAGCCGCTCCGCATCGGTCATTACGACAAAGGAGAGGCAATCCCCGAGGCAACTTTACGTGAAGCAGCTATTCAACTTGGCTCTTTCCTTCCAGACGTTCTGTTAAAAGGAATACGTTTCAAGCAAAGTGAATTGTTCCCAGACTCTAATTAATCAGCTCCAGTGTTCTCTAAGTGCGATGTAGACATATTATAGCTGTATGTAGGCCTGTGGAAAATTAAATTAGTGAGTGTTTGTTTAAATATCCAAAAGGAATATGGGTGAAATATGGGCTTTAGAAATACTGAAGCCAAAAATTAATATATGGACTCAAAAATAATTTGAGAAAAGTGTTTCTTTTTCTGAATCATATTTTGATAAAATTTCAGTCTGATAAAAGTTTGAAAGGCTTCTTTTACATCAAAATAAACAATAATTCTTTTAAAGTATTCTCATTTTTGATTAACCAATCACCAATTGCTGTAGATATATTTGTACTTTTACTCGCAATAAATGTTTATTTTTACTTGTCTTTTATGTACTGTTTTACAGCACCGTCAATATCTACAGTATGTAGTGTCGAATGGTAAGTTTGTTGATAAAGTATAGATTATAAAGGCTTTGAAAGGAAGAAGGTCGCGTCCTTATCAAGTTATGATGTCGGAAAGTGCCTAGAGACACCAAAGAAAGTCACGAAAGACCTAAGAATATTCGAAGTATCGACAGAAATTCGAACAGAGAATTTTCGCAGTAGATATCTACATCTTTATCGCTGCACTAACTTGCTTGGCTTTCTGCATTTCCTTTACTTGTGCTAGTATTTCACACGTAAATAATTTAAAACTTAGTGTGTTACCTGAAAAGAGAAATCCGCGTTTCCGGCTATACATATCTTAAGCCACCTCGCTGAAAGTGATTTGTGACTGAATTCCAAGTAGAGAAATTTTTAAATCATAGTTTTATACAGTAAGCTCTTTGAAGACCTTTAGTTAGTTATTGGAGAGGGTGGATTTCCCCATGCACTGAGACCAGTATTGGTCCATTGTGCTTCCCTCTATGATATTCTACCAGTCTCTATACCCTACCGATATTGGTGCGTACGATCAGTCCCGCCGAGCCAGCGAGTTCGGCCTGCACTAGCTTGGCGGTGTCTATAATGCTTCTCCCATCTATCAGAGCCTTGATTTGGCTCAGTGATCTCCTTTGGAGATATGAGGTTCTTTTACGTGCCGTAAAGCTACGACACGGGACACACGGCTTAAAGTCCCTCCCGGAGGACTTGTTTCCTGAATTTTTCCGCCCTTAAAAATTCGACGACCTCCGCCGTACCACGAGTCATGAGGTGGGAACGTTACCTCTGGACTACGGAGGCTGCTCTTGAAGACCTTTACTCACCAACTTTCCCTCATACGCTTCACTACATCAAGCATGGCCGTGATGAACTATAAATCTATAGTCTGACACCCGTATAATTAAATCTAATATAAATTATGTTTTTGTTAAAATTGTGCCATGTAACAGAGAGTTTCGCGTCATCGCCATGCTTGTAATTACGAACATACTGTATAAAACCCACTCATGCAGAATTTGTGACTACGGTTGAAGGTTGCTTCCAGGCAGGTCCTGCTGGGCCTGCAGATAATTTGGGCGATTGTTGTCGGCTGTGTGCAATTTGATCGTGCGCTGCTTTGGGATATTCTGGTGCAATGTGCCTTAGTGAGCCTCTATTGAAGTACCCGCCTGGTTGGCAACCACCCTCTAGCCCACGACTCCGGTTTATCACACACGAGTCTGAGCACGAACCTAGCCTCAATCACGAGATGTCTAGACGAACACCAGTATGTATCAAAACTTTATGTTCACTGCTCCAATGGTTTGCTAGTTATCGCCGACGGACAAGTAATACTAGAATTCGCACAGCCAGTGTGCTTCATTGCTTTCTGCAAGACAAGACGTTCTGGGAAGAACTAATCAAGTACTTTCTTTGAGAGAGAGAGAGAGAGTCAGAAAGTATAGTAGAAGAACAGGTGGAAGTTCATTTTCGCCTACTTCTCTTTCACTACATATTGAATATTTGATACGAATCGGACCGCACAGAAAACACCGCGTGCAACAATTTTTCTATTGTTGAAAGTGTATTCATTGCCGCGGTACGTCTTTACCGAGCCCTTATCTAGCAGCGATAAAGGGGGAGGTATCATTTTTTTTTAATTGGAAGGTATAATAAAAATGACCTTAAGAAAAGTTGCGTGTATTTCGACAGTGTGGCTCTATGTAAAATGTTATGATCCTATGCCAGTGTACGTGGTAGTGTCGTTTGTTGTAGTTGATAGTACGAAATGGGAAAGAACATAGTTGCAGAGACCAGTAGGGAGTGACACGATCTTTCACGATAATCCTCTAGTTAAAAATGTTAATTTGGGGGGGTGGGGGGAGACGTTTAGGCCGACTTACGTGTCATGTTACCAGATGACTATCTCACATTAATAAATAAGAAAAAAGGAAGAATCTACTCTGGAATTCATTGAGAACGAGTCAAAAGTTATCGCAAGTGCCATGTGTTTTAATAATGCTCACCGGATATGCTGTATCACTCAAAAACAGAAAGTAAAGTTGCCCTGTGCCGATCTGTCTAAGGCATGAACTGTTTTCGTCCTCTCAAACACTAGGATCGTGAGTTAGAATGCCA